ATACTGAAAGTGAATTGACTTTATATTTTGTGCGCGAAAAGTATTCATTAAGCCAATGAATCATAGTAAATATGTAAGTAAATATGATAAGTAGTCATTAAGAGAAATACCACCAATTATGTGAGCCACAATTTTCCAACTCATTGCTAGAGAAATAAAGTAAATTAATAAACAGCAATGCTTTAGATTTTTCCTTACTTTTCTAGAAGATGAATAAGTGGAGTTGAGGCCATGCCTTTGGGCTGGCTGGACGCCATAAGGTCACCTGCAAAACACATAGTCACTTCACTTTACTGTAAATTCTGTGAAGCGCTTTGAGACGTTTCGACAATGTGATAAGGCTCTATATAAATGCAAATATTATTATTATTACTACTCTCACTAATACTAATACTATTATTATTATACAAGAATGAGATCCAGTGAACTGAAAGGCCTTCCTCATCTGAACTCTTATATAATAATAATAATAATATTAATAATAATAATAATAATAATAATAATAATAATAATAATAATCCTTGCATTTGATATAGCGCTTTTCATGACTTCTCGACGTCCCAAATCGCTTCACAGAATATACTGTAAAGTGAATTGACTGTATATTTGTGGGCAAACGCGGCAGCCAATTGCGCACAGCAATGTCCCACATACAGTTGTGGATTGAAAATGACCAATTTATTATTGTTTTTGGTTTTGGAGGGATTATTATTAGGCTCTGTGTGGAGTAAGGAAACTTGCCCAAGGTTTCGCCCTCTGCCTGGAATTGAACTCAGGTCTCTCACTTGCAAAGCGAGTGCTCTAACCACTGAGCTACAGGACTCCATAATCCTGTTCAGATGAACAGCAACACCAACAAATTACATTTACGGACCCAAAGCACTGGACAGTCAGGGAACCACACCTGAGCTAGTGGTTGGGATCAGGAGGGGTGGAGGTCAGGGAGGGTAGGAGTAGAAGGGTGACCGAAGGCACAGTCAAAGAGGAGGGTCCTGAGACAGCTCTTGAAGGAGGCAAGGGAGGGGCTAAGGAGGAGGGACTGTGGGATGGAGTTCCAGAAGGTGGTTGCAGAGAGGCTGAAGACCCACCCGCCAATGGTGGGGTGGGCAAGGCGAGGGACATTAAGTAGGCCGGAGCCTGGGGAGCAGAGGGAGCCAACAGGTTGGCGGAGGGTTAGGAGGTCACAGAGGTATGGAGGAGAAAGGCCATGGAAGGTTTTGAAGGTGAGAACCAGGATCTTGAATTGTATCCTCTGTGTGATGGGAAGCCAGTGGAGTCGGGCAAGGATGAGAGTGATAGGGTCATGGAGGCTGGTGCAGGAGAGGACACGGGTTGCAGAGTTCTGGATGATCTGTAGCCTATGGAAGGAGGAGTTGGGGAGACAGACTAGCAGGGAGTTTACATAGTCGAGGCTGGATGTGATGAACGTGTGGATGAAGGTCTCAGCAGCCTTTGGTGAGAGGCAGTGGCAGGGGCGGGCGATGAAGATAAAGGTTGTTTACACCACCAAGGAGACTGTAATGCATAACCTGCAGAAATGGAATGTTCCAGATTTAGTCTGAACAAGCCTTCGTGTTCAACTAAAATTGTGTTTTGGACACAGAGAGAGATTGCTGCCTTGGCTTGTTCCTCTTTGAAGTTACTATGCATGGAATGAGTTGGGGGGAGATATTCTACCAGGGGCAGATCTGCTCTATTTATGTAGTATTTTAGAGCTTCGAGAATTTGCGAACTTAACTACAGTCCTAACTTTAAAGCCAGTTTTCTGCAATTCCTAAAACATATTTGTGCATTATCCCCCGAGTCTCTGGGTTTAGGTTATAAGCTGTTTGTTAGCAGGATGACAGGGCTTGCTCCAGCTTAATCCATCTTGCTTCAACTTGGCAGCCGGATGCCAACACCCACCATTCCTATGAGATTGAAATCATAACTTTCAAGTAAGCAAACACACCCAATTTCTGCATTCTTGGACAGATAGATTCATGTTACGACTTGGGAAGCTGAGACCAGTCACTGGGGGCCCCTGTTAACCCTGCAAGCCAACGCTCTAACGAGTAGGATGGTCCTAGCAGGACAAGCAGCAGGAAAGCTTGCTAGGCAGTGCTCTCAATGGTAAGCTATGCTTTGTGGAGTCCTGTAGCTCAGTGGTTAGAGCACTCGCTTTGCAAGCGAGAGACCTGAGTTCAATTCCAGGCAGAGGGCGAAACCTTGGGCAAGTTTCCTTACTCCACACAGAGCCTAATAATAATCCCTCCAAAACCAAAAACAATAATAAATTGGTCATTTTCAATCCATGACTGTTTGTGGGACATTGCTGTGCGCAATTGGCTGCCGCGTTCGCCCACAAATATACAGTCAATTCACTTTACAGTGTGTTCTGTGAAGTGCTTTGGGACGTCCTCCCGACGTGAAAAGCGCTATATCAAATGCAAGGATTATTATTATTATTATTATTATGCGGTTTTAGCTGGTTATCCCAATGCAGACTCTCGACTTCCTAAGCCTTGGCTCGTGCCAATCTGCTTCTAATACTTTCTTGAAATAGAAGCAACAACAACAACAAGATACATTTGTGTAGCGCCTTTCACGTCAGGAGGATGTCCCAAGGCGCTGGACAGTGTACAGCATTTCAGACCCGAGCTGGGGTCGGGGGGGAGAAGGGAGGGGAGGGGAAGGTGGGTGGCCGATGGCATGGTCGAAGAGGAGGGTTTTGAGGCGGGACTTGAAGGAGACTAAGGAGGGGGCGAAGCGGAGTGATTGGGGGATGGAGTTCCAGAGGTTGGGGGCAGAATGGCTGAAGGCACTCCCACCAATGGTGGGGCAGGTGGGTCGGGGAACATGGAGCAGGCCGGAGCCGGCTGAGCGGAGGGAGTGGGCGAGTTGGTAGGGGGTTAGGAGGTCGCAGAGGTAGGGTGGGGTGAGGCCATGGAGGATTTTGTAGGTGAGGACCAGGATTTTGAACTGGAACCTCTGAAGGATAGGGAGCCAATGGAGTCGGGCGAGAATGGGGGAGATGGAGTCACGGAGTTTGGTGCGAGAGAGGACACGGGCTGCAGAGTACTGGATTATCTGCAGCTGTGGAGGGATGAGTTGGGAAGGCCGACAACCAGGGCGTTTGCATAGTCGAGCCTGGAGGTGATGAAGGCATGAACAAGAGTTTCAGCGCCTGAGGGGTGAGGTAGTGGCGGAGGCGGAGGCGGGCAATGTTATGGAGGTGAGGGAAGGCAGAGCGGGTCATGGCTTGGATGTGGGGAAGAAAAGACAGTTGAGGGTCGACAAAGACACCTATGTTCCTGACTGGCTGCTGAGTTGTAATGTGCAACCATGGAGGTTGATGCTGCCGGAGCCTGAGGTGCTGAGGCGCTGGTGTGAGCCAATCAGGAGGGCCTCAGTCTTGTTCACATTCAACTGTAGGAAGTTTGCCCTCATCGAGGACTTGATGTCCGACAGACAGTCTGTCAGGACAGCAGTGGTCCTGGAGTTGAGGGTGGAGGCAGAAAGATAGAGTTGGATGTCATCCACATACATATGGAAGCAGGATGTGTCCCTCCAGGGAGAGAGTGTGCATTCCATTCCAACAATCAATCTCTGGAATTTCCAAGTGTAGATGGGAAGCATGGAATTCTCAGTTTGGTTTGGATATTCTTAAGCGTGGTGAGGAGGTTCCGTGTGTGTCAGACACTCGGCTGACCCCCAAAAAACAGAATGGAGAGCCGTGGACACAGAGTATCAATCAGGACATAGGGTGGTTGTGATACAGTGAGCATTAATAAGGCCAATGTTAAAAAAAACTCATCAAAGCAAATTCTTTTTCAGCGTCCATTTTATCTTTAATATGGGAGAGATGAACATGTTGAATTATAAGCTCTATTGCAGTTCTCCGAGAGAAGAAAGAAACCCAGTGGAAATGGCACACAATTTTCAATACCATGGGGGACGTGATGAACCATAGCTATTACTATCGGTAATAATAATCGTCTTTGGATTGGATTTTGTCAGCCTATCTCAGTTGGTAGCACTCTCACTCTGACTCCAAAAATTGTAGGTGCAAGCCCCACATCAATACATTGAACTGAGAGGGTAGACTGACATGCTAATGCAATGCTGATGGTGTAATGAAGTATCAGAGGTTGAGCCTTTGTCCTTTGGATGAGCCATTAACCTGCCTGTTCAGGTGGATGTTGAAAAGAAGGTCCTGGCCAACAATCCCACAGATAAAATTGGTCATTCACTTCACAGATGTTTGTGGATGTTGCTGTGCTCAATTGGCTACCACATTCATCTTCAAAGTATATAGCCATTGCATTTCACAGCAAATCCGTGATAAAGTGCTGTATCAAATACAATGTTTATTATTTGGGGTTTGAAAGTACAGTATCTAAACAGTACTGGAGTAAAGGGGTTTGTGTATATCATTTTGCACAAAACCAGGAATGGTATTGAACTCCCTCCCTCAATCCCTTTGCCTTGGCTCCCTCTTCCCCTATTTTCAGCTCACGGCCATGCCTATGGTCACCTTCCCCTCGGGCTCCACCATCGTTAAGCACTCTGGGACACCACCCGGCGTAGAGGGCACTGTATAAATGCAAGCTGCTATTGTATGATGTTCCTCTCTGTGAGTGTTAGTCTCCAGTAGGGCCCAAATTAGCTGAGCACTGAGCTATTCCAGAGACACAGTACTTTAGACAGTTACCTGGTGTGAAAGGCGCTGTATAAATATAAATTGTACTTGCACCATATATTTTAAGACACAATGGTTGTATGTGCTCCTCCCGACATGAAAGGCAAATGTAATTTTGTCTTATTGTTGTTCCGCTCATACTCGATGGAATTGTGGGCTTATCATGTCTATGTGTGTCTGTGTGTGTGTGTGTGAGCAATATTCTGGTCACATTGTCAAGCCACTCCTCCCACTCCCAGGGTTTTGCCAAAGACATGTTACTCATGTTAATGGGAGGTTCCCATGGTGCAAAGGCAAAGAGATAGAAAATTGTTAGTGTCTCAAGGCAGAGTGGCAAGTACGTGAGTGAGGCTCCAAGCTTTGTTGATCTTTCCTTTACAGGTATGTCTTTGCATGTCAAACCTTTTAACCTTTAGAACTAAGAAGGTGGATAGCAAGCGTACGTGAAGCTCCAAATAAAGAAACGTCTATGCCTTGTGAAGTATTACGTTTCCAGGGAAAGCTGCAGATTTTGAGTGTTGTTTATGCTGATTATTCCTGGTCGCTTTTATGTTTTTCAACCCTATCATTTATTCGTTAAAAGGCACCCAACTAATGAACTGACTAACTAACTGTGATCATTGTGTGAATTCAGTTTTGTGCTCAGTGACAGAATCTCAGTAAAAGTGCATAGCCATAGGCACTTGGTCTATACGCGGAATCTGTATGACTTGTTCCTCTTTGCCAAGTAATTTCTTTATGTGTAATCTGAATTATGAACATAGAGATCTATATGTGTAATGCGCAATAGTATCACACGTGTAAATTATGCATGTGATAAATGAAAACAAATTATTGCTAAATTTTCGGCATAACAACAACAACTTGCATTTAAATAGCGCCCCTCAGGCAGGGTAGCATCCCAGAGCGCTTGACAGTAATGGAGCACAACGCCAAGCCAGGGGGAGAGCGGAGGAGGGAGGTCGCACTAAACCCCTTTCCTAAAGAGAATTCAACTGGCCTTTGTAAGAAATAATTGAGGTAAAATCCCGCAAATAGCAACAGAAAAAAGTTAAAACAATCTCAAGAGGAGCTTTAGAGAAAAATCCATTTGGATTATTTTGCATTAGGTTAGCATGGGAGCTGCAAGTCTTGTGTAGGCTAACCTAACCTAACTAACCCTAAACTAACCTAAACCTAACCTACTTACCTACAGCAACTAAGATATCTGGCCTAGATGACCAAGACTTGTCCAACCCTCTGATCGATCTCCAAGGATTCACTATTACTACACCAATCCTTATCAAGACTATCAAGACAATTTCAGAATCAGATAACCCACTCCATTGGAAATGAGTCACTCTCAGCTCTAGATGGCTCTAAATGGCATTGGTTGTGTTCTCCTCAGAGGTGCCACAGGCCAGAGATTGAGATTAAAGGAGGCATTTGAGCAAATTCCAGTTGCCTCTCCTCCTCACTCTGAAACAATCCTGTTTGGATACTTGGCACTGCCATTGCTCCCTCCTCCTTCATTTCTGTATCCTCTCGTGGGTAATACAGAACAAGAGGACATAATCTTAAGATTAGAGCTAGGCCATCTTGGAGTGAAATTAGGAGGCAGTTTTTCACCCAAAAGGTAGTGGAAATCTGGAACTCTCTTCCACAAAAGGCTGTGGATCCTGGATTAATTCACATTTTCAAGACGGAGATAGATAGACATTTGGGATGCTTTCAATAAATATTATGTCAACAAACCCTGGTGATGTGGCAGGATGTTCTTAAAAACCTCTTGAGTGATACGTGGAGAAACCTGCTGTAGCATGTACAAAAATGCAGAGAAACAGCTTGTGGTTTGGTTGATCATCCAGAGTGATTCACTCTGGGGGAATACAACCTCCAAACCCAATTTAAACTGAGGGATTTGAGACGACCTTTTGTGTGACAGGCATAGATAGAAATGAAAGTTATTGTCATTGGATGGATAGGAGAGAGTTTTGAAGAATGAGATGTTGCGCGCTCTTAATTATTATTCATCATTATTGTTCTCACTGAAGTCGTACTTCTTTAAAAAAAAGTAAAATTGTTTTCTAGGGAGGTTTCTCTACATCAGTTTGCTCCCTTTGTGTTTCTCTACTGGAGTGTGGCCCAATTGGTGTTCATTGGATTCACACCCAAGAGACCATTGTTCATATATTGACATTGACTGGCTGTGATCCCATTCTTACCTGCCGTCCATACTCGCTAGAGGCTCTGCATAATAAGCCTTGATTTGACGCAATACCTTTCACATTGGGATAATGTTTCAAAGTGCTTCAGGATTACTGTAAAATCTGGTGACTATATTGAGTGCCCACTCACTCCACGACTGTTGTGGAACATTGTTGTGGCCAAACAAACTGGTTGCCGCATTTTGCCCACAAAAAACACAGTCATTGCACTTTACAGAAGATCCTATGAAGCCCTTTGAGATGACTCGATGACGTGATAAGGCGCTATATCAAATGCAAGGATTATTATTATGATTTTGTAGGCAAATGGGGCAGTCAGTTTTGCACACAGCAACATCCCACAAACAGCCATATATATAACCTATACAACAACAACAACAACAAGATTCCATTTATAAAGCGCCTTTCACGTCAGGAGGACGTCCCAAGGCGCTGCACAGTTGGGTCATGACCCGAGCATTGGGGGGAAATGGTCAGGGTGAGGGGAGGGAAGGGAGGGAGCGAGGAGGGGGGAAATGGTCAGGGTGAGGGGAGGGAAGGGAGGGAGCGAGGAGGGGGAAGAGAGTCGAGAGGGGAGCTGAAGGCACGGTCAAAGAGAAAGGTTTTGAGACCGGCCTTGAAGGAGGAAAGGGAGGAAGCGGCGAAGGCACTGGGGGATGGAGTTCCAGAGCCTCGGGGCTGAGAGGCTGAAGGCCCGACCACCGATGGTAGGGCGGTTGGGGCGGGGGACGTGGAGCAGACCGGAGCCAGAGGAACGGAGGGTACGGGCAGGTAGGTAGGGGGATAGTAGGTTGGAGAGGTAGGAGGGAGCAAGGCCGTGAATGGCCTTGTAGGTGAGGATGAGGATCTTGAAATCAATCCTCTGGGGGATGGGGAGCCAGTGGAGGCGAGCGAGGGTGGGAGTGATGTGGTCCCGAAGCCTGGTGCGGGACAGTACACGAGCTGCAGAGTTCTGAATGACCTGCAGCTTGTGGAGGGAGGGGCGGGAAGGCCGGCGAGGAGAGAGTTCCCATAGTCCAGCCTTGAGGTGACAAAGGCGTGAACCAGGGTTTCAGCAGCGTGAGGGGTGAGGTAGTGCCGTAGTCTGGCGATGTTCCGGAGGTGATGGAAGGCGGTGCCAGTTGTGGTGCGGATGTGAGGGAGAAAGGACAGCTCAGGGTCGAACAAAACGCCGAGGTTCCTGACTGGCTTTGAGAGGTGGAGAGTGCAGCCTTGGATGCTGATGGTGTCAGCGCCTGAGGTGCGGAGGCGCTGACGTGAGCCAATCAGGAGGGCCTCGGTTTTTCGCACGTTGAGCTGAAGAAAGTTGTCTCTCGTCCAGGACTCGATGTCGGACAGGCAGCTGTCAGGACATCGGTGGTCGTGGAGTTGAGAGTAGAGGAGGAAAGGTAGAGTTGGGTGTCATCCGCATACATGTGGAAGTTAACTCCATGTCTGCGGATGATGTCACCACAGGGGGAGCATATAGAGGGTGAAGAGGAGGGGACCGAGGACAGAGCCCTGAGGGACACCACATGAGACAGTACGGGGGGTGGAGGAGAAGCCATTCGTCGAGACAAAGTGAAGACGGTGAGAAAGGTACGACCTAAACCATTCAAGGACAGTGCCTTGAAGGTTGAGGTGGGAGGACAAGCGGTGGAGTAGGATAGCGTGGTCGACCGTATCGAATGCTGCCGATAGGTCGAGGAGGACGAGGAGACAGAGGGAGCCCTGGTCACAGATGGTCAGGATATCATTGGTGACCTTGACCAGGGCAGTTTCTGTGCTATGAGCAGCACGGAAACCTGACTGAAGGGGTTCGAAAAGAGAATGGGTGGAAAGGAAAGAGCGCAGTTGGGAGGCGACAACTCTTTCCAAGACCTTGGAGAGAAAGGGGAGGTTGGAGATGGGCCGGTAGCTTGATAGCTGCGACGCATCAAGGGAGGGTTTTTTCAGGGTGGGCGTGATGATGGCAGTTTTTAATGGAATGGGGACAGAGCCAGAGGAGAGGGACAGGTTGATGATGTCAGTGATATGTGGGGCAAGAAAGTGGAGCTGGGAGATAAGGAGTGGAGTGGGGATGGGGTCAAGGGAGCAGGTGGTTGGTTTTAGGGATAGGATGAGTTCAGTGACAGAGGGTGGGGAAACGGGTACGAAGGTGTGTAGGGGAGGATGGGTAGGAGTCGGAGTGTGGGAGGGAAGGGGTGGGTGGTGGGTGGAAGTTGGAGGGGAAGTGACCGCGGAGCGGATTCCCTTGATCTTGGATTCAAGGAAATCCAGCATCTCCTCGCAGTGAAGGTTGGAGGAGATGACCTGCGCGGGGGGGCGGGGGGGACGGAGGAGTCGGGTTGTGGTGGAAAACAGTAGCCTGGGGTTGTTCTTCGCCTCCAGGATTATCCTGGAGTAGAAGGACGACTTGGCCGAGGCTAGAGTGGAGCGGTAAATTTTGAGGAGGTCCAGCCAGATTTGTCGGTGGACCGTTAGGCCAGATTTGACACAGGTGCGTTCAGCAGCCCGCACCTGGCTTTTCAGTGAGCGGAGGTGGGTGGTGTACCAGGGGGAGGAGCGGGAGTAGGAGACAGTGCGGGAAGTGATGGGGGCAAGAGTATCGAGTGTGGAGGAGAGGGTATTGTGGAGGAGGGAGAGAGGAGAAGAGGGGTCGGTGAGGGTTGAAGGCCAGAGGGAGAGGAGTTCAGAGGACTCCAAGGCATCGGTTAGGGATTGTGGGGGTAACTTCTTCCAAGGGCGGTAGAAGATGGTGGTGGGTCTGGTGGAGGTGGGGAGGGGGGTGGAGGTGGTGAAGGAGATGAAGTAGTGGTCAGAGATGGCCTTGTCGGTAATAGTGACATCCGAGACACTGAGGCCCCGGGTGATCACCAAATCGAGTGGGTGGCCGTGACTGTGAGTGGGGGAGTTTATGTGTAAGGAGAGGTTGAGTGAAGAGAGCAGGGAAGAGAAGTCTGTGGAGATGGAGCAGGAGGGTTAATCAGTTAAACTCAGTGCTCGCTGGGCTGGGTGATGCCTGTAAATTAAATTAAAGACCGGAGACACACTAACTATCCTTACAGTAATAATGGTAGAAGAAACTCTTCGAAAGCTGTGGAGCAACTTCAGGCTTTTTGTCTTCTTAATTAGGGCTTTCTGCCCATGGAGAATCGAAGGCAGTTCCCACTAATCCCTCACAGTCAGTCATTCAGTTGAATGTTGGCCTCAGGTTAAGATTTCTGCACTCCACATCCTTAATCCATACCTGTCTGTTTTGTCCTGTCACTATTCAGCATCACTTGAGAGAGATTCTTATAAAATCCCTTTGTCAGCCATGTTGCACTTTCCTGTGGTGTACAATCCTTTGTAGGCCTTCCTTATCCCCCCTACACAATACACAGTAACTTACTATAAATCCTGTGAAGCACTTTGACATTTTTCAAAGACTTGATAAAGTGTGAATGCAAATGCAAGGATTATTATTACTACTATAGCACATTATCAGGTCTTCTAGACTTCTCAAAGTGTTTCACAGAACATACTGTAAAGTGAATTGTATGTTTTGTGGGCGAAATGTGGCAGCCAATTGCGCCCAGCAGGGTCCCTCAAACAGTCATGGATTGAAGTGACCAAATTATTATTAATATTTATTTTATTACTACTATTTATTACAACCAATAATAAATGTTCCTTTGTTTTGGTTGCTTGCCTGTGTGAATGGATTCAAAGCTCCTGTGTTATTGGATCCACTGTTGATGAGCTGTGTGTTGTCCACTTACAGGCATCAACTGAAAAACTTCAACCACCATGAACTGGGGTTTCCTCCAGGGGTTGCTCAGTGGCGTAAACAAGTATTCCACGGGATTCGGGAGGATCTGGCTGTCCGTGGTCTTCCTTTTCCGAGTGATGGTCTATGTGGTGGCAGCAGAGAGAGTGTGGGGCGATGACCAAAAGGACTTTGAGTGTAACACCTTACAGCCTGGTTGCTCCAACGTCTGCTATGACCATTACTTCCCCGTCTCACACATTCGGCTCTGGGCATTACAGCTGATCTTCGTCTCCACCCCATCGCTGCTGGTGGTTATGCATGTGGCCTACAGGGAGGAGAGGGAGAAGAAGCACAAGAAGAAGTTTGGGGAAGATTGCTCTGCGCTGTACGAAAACACAGGGAAGAAGAAAGGAGGGTTGTGGTGGACTTATTTGTTCAGTCTTGTATTTAAGGCTGGGTTCGATATCACTTTCTTGTACATTCTTCACATGATGTATGAGAATTTCGACCTGCCTCGCCTGGTGAAGTGCACCATGGATCCTTGCCCCAACACCGTAGACTGCTTCATCGCCAGACCCACTGAGAAAAGAATCTTCACTTACTTCATGGTCGTAACCTCCGCCCTGTGTGTGCTCATCAACATCTGTGAATTGATGTATCTCGTCAGCAAGAGGGTCATGGAAAGCTGCTGCTCCCCCTACTGCACACGGAGAAGCTCGAGGAACATGATTCCGATGAAGATGAAGTCACCCTCATTCTCCTCCAACAAGAAAAGGCCGACTGCAAATTACAATGCAGAAAACAAGATGTTCTTTGGAGACCAGAGCCCCAACCCGAACATCATCATTCATGGTCAAGACATGAAAAGTCCGTCAGCAAACAAGTCCAAGTGTTGATTTATTTGGCTTATAAAAGGTAATTAGAACCCAAGTCATTCAAGAGCTGCAGAGTTCAATCATTCCTTCCACACAAACTCCCCGACTTCAGCATTCTAAGATGGAGTTTGTCAAGGTTACCAGTCACAACATTCTCTGTTGTGTCTCGAATATTCTGAAGACATCCACTCTTTTTTTTAAAGTGCAAACGGTTTCAGGACATTATGTGAATGCGGACTGCTGAGCTCCACTCTCCATCTCCAGCCAGAGACATCAGTCACAGCCCTTCCCTGGCACATAGGAACACAGGAACATAGGAACATGGGAACACGTGAACATGGGAACACGGGAATATGAGAACATGGAAACATGGAACATGGGAACATGGGAACATGGGAATATGGAACATAGAAACACAGGGACATAGGAACACGGGAACATGAGAACACGGGAACATGGGAACATAGGAACATGGGAACACGGGAACATGGGAACACAGGAACATGGGAACACAGGGACACAGGAACACAGAGACACAGGGACACAGAGACACAGGGACACAGAGACACGGGGACATAGGGATACAGTGATATAGGGACACAAAGACACAGGGACACAAAGACACAGAGACACAAGTAACACAGGGACACAGAGACACAGGGATATAGGGACACAGAGACACAGAGACACAGGGTTATAAGGACACAGAGACACAGGGACACAGAGACACAGGGATATAGGGACACAGAGACACAGGGACACAGAGACACAGGAACACAAGGACCCAGAGACACAGGAATACAGGGATACCGGGACACAGGAACAGGCGGAGGCCATTCAGGCTATTCCGGTTGATTCCCAGTTCATTACATCATGTAAAATATTCTAATCCCATTTCCTGCCTTTTCTGCATACCCCTCAATCCTATTACTTCCCAAGTATCCCTCGGTTCCAGGTGTCAGCCGGGCTCAGTCAGTAGCACAGTCTCCAGTTAGAAGATTGAGGGTTCAAAGCCCACATCGAGACCAGCAGTTCACAGTCTAAACTTACACTGCAGTGCAATGCTGGGGGAGTGTTGTATTGTCAAAGGTGCCATCCTACAGATGGATATTAAACTGAGGTCTTATCTGTCTTTTCAGGTGGAGGTCAAAGATCCCAAGGCAATATTCAAAAAGAAATGGGAGTATTGAGATAAAAAATGATCATTCACTTCATGACTGTCTGCAAATCATTGTGATGCACAAATTGGCTGCCACATTTGCCCAAAGAATACACAGTCACTACACTTCTAGTAAATATATATATAGTAAATCTTATGAAGCGCTTTGAGTGCTTTCCTACTGCCATGAAAGACACTGCATCAAATTCAAGTATTATTATTATTATTAAACATTTAATTCACGCTTCCTATAAAAGGTGGCACAATGTGATTGGTTGGTGAATTGATTTATTCTTGTCATGTTCAGAGTTGTGGGAATAGATTCAAATTGTGTTGAGTCATTATATGACAAAGTGAGAGAAAGCATGGAGCCAACAGAATAATCTGTAACCCGCAGGCTGCATGGAAACAGTGTGAAGATCTGCCAAAGACATAATCATAATGGGATAAAATGATTTCAACATTCAGCTCAGTTATTGTGCTGGAGAGAAGGAAAGCCATGCACTTCTCTAAATATTCACTGCCAATATTTGATAATAATAATAATCCTTGCGTTTGATATAGTACCTTATCACATCTTTGAGACATCACAGAATATATTGCTCTAACCACTAGGCTACAGGACTCCACAATAAGTATTTTGTGAATGGAATCCAAAAATAATTTGTCACCTTTTAAATGTTTCCTATGGCATAAACCACACATCTATTTTTGGCCTGAGGCCTTCCTTTCTGATGGAAATGTTAATATAAAAAAGTTAATGTTCTTACGCATTATAAACCCTGCTGTTTAACTGACAGCTTCAAATTAAAGAGCTGTTCTTTCTCTGATTTGCTTGTGAATCGCTTAGGCAAGTATCCTTACTTCACACACCTGTTTATCCAGTGGTAAGTAGGAACCCGCTTGTTAGTCGATTCGCGGATGGCTTTCTGGGGTAATAATCCCTTTAAAAAATTTGTATAATAATTTGGTCACTCAATCCACAACAGTTTGTGGGACACTGCTATGTGTATTTGGCTTCTGCATTTTACCCACAAAAACATACAGTCAATTCACTTTACAGTATATTCTGTGAAGCGCTTTGAGGCTTCTCTACAATGTGATAAGTCGCTAGATCAAATGCAAGCATTATTATTGTATTATTATTTAATGTCTACCCACTGCCTCACTTTTGCACATCTGATGTAGTCTACACCTAATGGTCAAGCGTACACCCAGTGCTCAGTGCTTTTCTCCTTTTATAGCATTTCACTTAATGGCACAAACTCACTGGGATGAATCAGGTCCAGTGCTTTTTATTTCAGCATTTTGTGTAGCCATGATCACGGGCAGTGACCTGCTGTTCCAACGGAGGGATGATCAGTTCACATGCCAGTCATTAATCACTCATTATTCTTCTTCCACGATCCATGGTAAACTGCTTTGTTTTTTCCTGAATGACCCCAAATCCTGGGCCTGTGCTCACTTTAAGTCTTGGGTTATTTGCAGTTTTAGTAGAATTAGTTTTGGTTGGGGCTAGAGATGATTACATCCATCTTATTACCTTCCTCCAAAGTGCTGGAAGCACTGCACTGGGAGTGTAATATGGGAGATGAGATGTAAGTTATTGTGTATCCTTTTCCCAATGACTCGTCAATGATGGACCATGAAACGTAGTGCTTTTGTGAACTCTTATCAAAGCCAACACGTGGATGAAACAATATAGAAAAGTGCACATCTGTATTTATGCCTATGAAAACTTCATGAGGGGCTTGTGGTGCGATTTTCAAAATCTTAAGTGACTCCTCAATCAATATATTGTCAACATTAAGGTCAATATAATTTTATTTGCAAAAGAACACTTTGTTCGTTTATGGAATGTCTCCAAACCTCGCTCCTGTATTGGGAGCACACTATTCTGTGCAGTGAATGTAACGAGGAACTCCATTCACTGAGACTTTAAACAGTGCTCTCTCACTTTTTCTCTCTCGCTTTTTAACAAAGCAGCTAAAAATGATTGTCAAACATGGACTTTTTATACGCTTTGTATTGCGATGTTTTGTGACTGTCATATTAAAGGTTTACATTTCAGCTCTGTCAGTTGTATTGCATTTTATTTTCCAGACCTCAGATCTGTGTTCTTTTACCACATTGACTGTCCAGGTCAGCTGGGTGGACAGGAAAAGTGCAGGTAAATGGAATTGAGAATATTTCCCAGATTGAAAGTGATGTTTATCTAGAATAAGATGAGTTCCATGATACCAGCCCCCACGACGGGCCTTTGAACTCATGTAAGTCTGGGCTAACACTCTAGCACAATACTGGGCTGTCCATGTCGGAGATATCAGCATTTTGATGACCTACTAAATCATGAGATCACCCTAAAGGGTCCTGGCAGTGTACCTGAGTAGGGCGAGAAGCAGGTGGCTGGTCTGGCCTCACAGATGCTCATTTGATGCTGTAGTTGATATCACTCTATTCCTTCAAAAAAAATTACTCAATCCACGACTCTGTGTGCAAATTGGCTGCCGCGTTTCACCCACAAAATATACAGTGAATTCACTTTACAATATATCCTGCAAAGTGCTTTGAAACGTCTCAAAGACGTGATAAAGTGCTATACCAAATGCAAGGATAATATAAGGATTATTATCAATTAAAATTTACAACTATTTTCAATAAAGTTTCCACCCTGTGGAAAGAGATTTTACATGAAAGAGAAAGGAATGTGAATGAAACTGACTGGTGCTGGTTTGATCCTCAAACCATCGTCATAGTTTGAGGGTCTGATAAGAAAGCGGCTTACAATACATTGCGTCATTATGTAACCAGCCGCATCCTTCAGATGTTGTTAAAGAAACCCAATTAAATTGTTTGGAGATCAACACGCCCTTTGTTACGCATTTTAAACTCAAATGAGAATTGGAACCGTGAGTAAATTAGTGAACTGAGGCATAGAGCAAGAGACAAGCACAGCTCATTGATGGGGAGGTAAGTGGAATAGTTGAGGTAGAGACCATCAAGAATAACCCCCAATATTTCATTCAGAGTGGTGTCTGCTGTCTAGAATCATAGAATCATAGAATTATACAGCACAGAAGGAGGCCATTTGGCCCATCATGTCTGTGCCGACTCTTTGAAAAGAGCTTCCAAATCAATCCCACTCCCCAGCTCTCTCTGCATAGCCCTGCAAACTTGTCCAAGTAATTACCTGCTTTTTAAAAGTTGTTTAATCAGCTTAATCCAATCGCTTCCACCACCCTTTCAGGAAATGCATTCCAGATCCCAACAATTCGCTGTGTGAAAACATTTCTCCTTACCTCCCTCTGTTTATTTTAACAACTATTTTAAATTGATGTCCTCGGGTTTCCTGATCTTGGGGCAAATCATGAAGCTCAGAAATGAAGTGGTTCTGACAGGAGACAATAATCTGACATCTCAGATCCAGGGTAAGTCATAGATTTCAAAAAGGCTTTTGACACAGTACCGTGTAAGAGATTAATAAAAAAACTGGCGACCTACGGTATTAAGGGGACAGTGTCTGTTTGGATTAGGAACTGACTGAGTGACAGAGAGCAGAGGGTGGTGGTTAATGGGTGTTTCTCGCAATGGAAGGAGGTGTGCAGCGGTGTCCCCCAGGAATCGGTATTGGGACCACTGCTCTTTCTAATATATATTAATGATCTGGACTTGGGCATAGAGAGCACTATTTCCAAGTTTGTAGATGATACCAAGTTAGGTCGGGTAGTAAATAGTGAAGAAGATTGTGACGGACTGCAGGCAGACATACACAGAATGGTGGAATGGGCTGACATGTGGCAGATGGATTTCAATGTGGATAAGTGTGAGGTGATACACTTAGGTAGGAAAAATGATAGGAGGCAATATAGACTTGGAGCTCAATCTTAAGGGGGTGAACGTACAGAGAGATCTGGGTGTTCAAGTAAGCGAATCATTAAAGGTAGCGGGACAGGT